TGTTAGGAATAAAAAAAAAAAAAAAAAAAAAAAAACTATCAGTCGGTTTTCATATTTCAGTCGTTATATTCGTATTAAAAACTATATGTGCTGTAAATATTTTTATTTTGATGTAATTTTAATCAGATTTAACGATTAAAAAATATATGCTACCGATGTGAAACCACATCCTAGAAGAACCCTGCGCATGTGTGTGTGTATGTATATATATTTGTATGCGTGTATATGTAAATAATGTGAGAGTGTGTTTTGAAGTGCATTTCACGCTTTTACATCAGAGCGTAGAGCGATAGAAAAAGCAAAAGAGAGGAGTAACAGTCGGCTTCATCTTTAGACTTTAGCCGCGTCCATAACATATATAGCTTTATCTTTTTCTTCTTTATCAGCCCCCCTAAAAACAGTCTCTTTAGTCTTTACCTCTCACTTTTTAGCCTCTCGCATATAGTTATATTCCCCATAAAAAAATAATAAAAAATAAAAACTTCAAAACCCTTATTATATATAAACCCCTGTCTTTACTAATTGTCATCTTCTTCCTTTGTCTCTGTCCATCTTTCTTTGTACAATATATAAACCAAATAGCCAGTTTACTATATTTCAGACAAAAAGAGAAAGAATACAATGGAGATATTGTCACAACTATGGTCATTACTGGGACTACTCACGGTCCTCCAAAATGTGTTACCATCTCAACTCCTTTCCTTGCTTCACTCCCTCTATGAGTCCCTCCAAGACCTCCTCAGCCCTTACTCCTACCTCGAAATCCCCGAATTCAACGGCTACTGCGGCGTCGACGTCAACGATCTTTACCGTCACGTCAACCTCTATCTCAACGCCGTTGACCCCTCCGCCAGCTCCTGCCGCCGTCTCACCGCCCTGCTTTCCCGCTCCAACTCATCTATTAACAACAACAATAACACTAACAACCGCCACGGATTCTCCTTCGCGGTGGCCCCCAACCACTCCGTGCGGGACGCCTTCTGCGGCCACACCCTCACGTGGACACACCACGTGGAGGCCGTCCCGGAATCGTTGGAGGAGCGGCGGAGCTTTGTTTTGAAGCTCCCGAAGCGCCACCGCCAAACCCTACTCTCGCCTTACCTAGACCACGTGATCTCACGCTCCGAGGAGTTTGAGCGCGTGTCCCGCGAACGCCGTCTCTTCACCAACAACGGCCACGGGTCCTACGACTCCGGCTGGGTCTCCGTCCCCTTCCGCCACCCCTCCACCTTCGAAACCCTAGCCCTGGAGACCCAACTCAAGAACCAAATAACACAAGATCTCACATCTTTCGCCAATGGAAAAGACTTCTATCATAGAGTTGGACGTGCATGGAAGCGCGGTTACCTCCTGTACGGCCCACCGGGGTCCGGCAAATCGAGCCTTATCGCCGCCATGGCGAACTACCTCTGCTACGACGTGTACGACCTCGAACTCACAAAAGTCTCCGACAACTCCGAACTTCGGGCACTTCTCATACAAACGACAAACCGGTCGATCATCGTTATCGAGGACATCGACTGCACGGTCGATCTGACGACGGACAGAGCAGCGGTTTCATCAAAGCCCGGTCGGAAAAGATCTTCTTCGTCTCAGCCGTCCGATCATCATGATCAAGGCCAGGACCAAAGCGGAAGAGTGACGCTTTCGGGTCTTCTCAACTTCACTGATGGACTCTGGTCATGTTGTGGAGAAGAGAGGATTATTGTGTTTACGACAAATCATAAGGACAATGTGGACCCCGCTTTGCTCCGGTGCGGGAGGATGGACGTGCACGTGAGCCTCGGCACATGCGGACCGGCGGCGTTCAGGGTGTTGGTGAGGAACTACCTAGGGCTGGAGATGGATGAGACGGAGGAGGAGGAGGAGCACCGCCGGCTTATGGAGGCGGCGGAGGAGTGTTTGCGGTCGAGCGGGGCCCTCACGCCTGCGCAAATCGGGGAGATACTGCTGAGGAATAGGAGTGATGCTGCGGCGGCGATGAGGGAGGTGGTGGCGGCGATGCAGGCGGCCGGGAGGATGGCGGCCGCCGGTGGAGGAAATAGGGATCAGGTGAAGGAGTTGTACTGTCATGAACATGAAGCCGTGGCGGCGGGGAGGTTGTCGCCGGAGAGCGTGTTGATGAGGGGGTCACCAGAGAATTGGGTTTCGTCGTCGCCGGGGAAGAAGAAGAAGATCAAGTTTCTTGTGAGGCTTAGATCGTTGACCAAGTCTGACTCAGGGAGAAGAGGTGTCTGACCTTTTGAATATATGTTTTGTTTTTGTTTTTTTGTTTTTTTTGTTCTTTTGTTTGTTTGGCTTTTAGATAAGTTTTATTAACCAATTTATTTGACCTGTTTTGGGTGATTATCAATATAATGATCTTTCAACTGTTTTAAGTGTATGTTGTAATTTTTAGGGTCAGATTAAGTAATAACTGTTTTCCAATTAATTTAGCTCAGAGCTTTGCATATCATCTTATTCTTGTTATGGTATATATTTGCCGAACTTTTTTTTTTATAAAAAACGGCTTAAATATATATATATACACACACACACATATATATATGTATAACACATTTTCTTTGTCTACGGCTAGACCCAATACATCTCTGTTAACAAAGGTCGCCGAGAATTGGGAGTTGAAAACCATTACATGGTAAAGGGAATCTTTACGGTAGAAAAGCTATTTTGCTTCACTAGTGAGACGAGTGTTTTCAACTATTGGATCAGTTTTTTAGTTTTTAAATTTGTATAAATTTATGTTAAAAGTTTACAACACATCATATAAAACTGTTATATACTCTTATATAAATCTGACTGTTAAAAAATTATTCTAACGAATATTTATCGACCGATAGACTAAAATACCGTAAAGACTACCATATTAATTAGTCACTTTAAAAATTTGAGAACTATATATAAGCTACTTTAAAATGGTGTTTCCAACGATTTCTCAAATTCCAACAAAATCTCAAAATTCTAGAATTCCACGAATTCACAGCAAATTAAAAGAGAGAATCACTATCGGTCCAATATACTGATGCCAACAACAACCAGGAACTTGTAACAATGGCCCAAAGTTTAATGTCAAGTTAAAGCGCATTTCGCCAGTAACAAAATTTGTTAACTAAAATACTGCACCAGTACTATAGCATATTGCTCACATCATTGGGTGGGAAAATAAAATTGGCAAAGTTATAATAAGCTAGTAGCCCCCTTACTGGGGCATGTACCTACGCGCCGCTGCCGACTCATTTCATAATCGTGCCATCAGTCATGTCGAGCTCAATTTATTTACGAGCATCACGTTGAAACCGACCTATAATGATTTATGTTAGAAAAATATTAAGGACACTATCGGTATTAAACACTATCACTAATAAAAAAATAATCCTAACTGTAAGTTACATACCACGAGATTTATATTTTATTAATGGATGGTGTTTGATATTACCGGTGTTTTATAGTAAAGTTGTGTAATATATATTATCTTCTATTATGGACAGGTTTAGAATTCTGTTATCGTAATAAGAGGGTTTAGATATGTGCCACTTTGAGGACTCGTCAAAATAAGGGACATGGGGCGTACTAAAAAGGAGATCCCACCAAATTTCTTGTTTCTTTGAAAATTGCCCTCATTGGGTTGCTGAAAATTAATCAATAGATTATCACCAATGCTCTACCAGATGTCACCGGACGTGATCTAAAATATAGAACAAATTTTCTCATTTTTATCAACTATAGCCTTTTTTTTTATAGCCCTTAACAATAAAAATAGAATTCTACGCCAAATATTAGCAATCAAATTGCACTTCATTTTACTCAATTAACTCTATTGTTGTGTCTATTCTAATTAAACATTAATTATTTTCTTTAAATTTGCATGTAGTAACTTGTGCTCAAAAGTCAAACATACTGCAATACAATAGCCGCTCTT